CGACATTTTGGAAACACTGACATAACAGCACGAATGTGTTATTCCTTTAAGACACAATAAACATTAAAGACAACGGTCAGCGATTAGTTCCCCCTTGTTAACGTACTTTACGGCCACAGACGCGAAACGCTCTCGTTGGGAGCTCGCAGTCTGTTTCTGGCTTTAATGAACGGCCGAGCATAAGAACAGCACTTCCCAACACGGGAAGAACCGACTTAAGAGTTGCGGGGCTCTGTGGTGCGGATGGTCACTCGTTGTGTTTCGGTGTTAAAGCGCAACCCTCCGTTCCACTTCGGTCACGGTCACGGCGGTGCCGTGGAAGCGGCTCGCGCTGAAGGAACGGGGCCACCAACGGCCGCCAGCTCGCGACCGCCTTCAATTAACAGACGCCCGCGTGCGGACCGTTGCGTTTCCCGGCACGAGCTCACTCGGCGGTTCCGTGACAAGGGACGGCGCGTCCATTAACTCGAAATATCACACATAGCGTCCCGTAAATATCCCCATCCGTGGCCGCAGCCTCAGCCTCCCTGTCCATTCCCTCTCCCCCACCTTCCCCGACTTGTTTGCAACACCGCGGGCCCCTCAGAAAGCCGGAGCAATGCGTCGCAATATGAAATAAAGTTGCCCCTGTTTTTCGTGTCCAGGTGCGGGGCGCCCTGGAACAACCATGACTCGGTGGTTATATTTATATATTGGAGGAAATTCTCGGCATACCACATCACTTACCTCCTGTCCTGCGGGTCCACGTCCTCCTTGGTGTGCTCTCGCTGCTGTCTTTTTTCTCCTCCCCTCCGTTCGTTTTCTCTCCTGGCTTGTTTCTTTTTCCTCCTCCCTCCCAGATGCGCCTGGTCTCCAACAGGGGGGAACCGAGGGACGTTGCTCCGGAAGCAAACGCTCCTCAGTCTTTTGCCTTCTTTTCTTTTCTTCTTTATTTACATATGAATTTAATAAACTGCTCCAGTATTAATGGGATGACCTGTTGCTTTGATGATGTCAGAACTAATTACAAAAGTTTATCAAAGATTTTCCTTATCTCACAAGAACATGTACAACGCAGTGGGTCGGAAATAACTCTGAGCCCATATTTTCCCATCAGATGGACATTTGCAAAACACAAATGCAACATTGAGCATTTGGAATTCTTACGTTTAGCAACTGACGTGCAGCATGAAAAAATCAGCTACATCAGAGGGAAACCAGTGACTTCCAATCATTTCAAGCTTTTTAATCTCTTTAAAACTTTTGGTGTGTGGAGATCGAGCTGATCCATTTGCAAAACATTGCAAAAATATCCAAATGCCATTGTCTTGTGTTAGAAAAGGGCCGCAAAAGGTTTTAAAATTGGGTCAAACCCTACGTACTTCCCCTCCTGTCCCAGTGATGGTTCTTTATTTCAAGCTATTTTGGAGTGTTTGAACTTTTTTTCTACCTTGAGGCCTTTGGAGGGTGACAGAGGCGGTGATGAATCTGCTGCCATCTTTAAAGGTAATTTAACAGTGACATGTCACAGCCACCGCCACAGAAAGGGGTTTGTCTCCGTCACCTCCAGTTTGATCGAACTTGAAGGAGTCGACGATACGTTTGTTGGCAGGTTTTTATTATATGGCATGTGTGATCAACATGGACCGAACTTGAGAAGGCAAAAATTAAACAACACACCATTGTAATAAAAGACACACGTTTGCACATTCTTGTTAATACTGCATACAACACACAATAGTTTATACATATAAAGGTACATACACAGTTATTTGAATTAGGTTTGTAAGACCTGAAAAGTTTTTAGTTTATATTTTAACCAGACACACTTGTACAAACCTCAGGGTTGTTGTTTTTTTCCCCAGAGAACTGCATTACTGTAAGTAAAAGCAACCATAACAGACCTAAATCTAACTCAGTGAAGAGCAGAAAGACCTTCACGAGAGGACTTTAGAGACTTGATTGAGTTATGGACTGTGAACTGAATCTGAGATGTACTGATAGACAAAATCTTTTTGTGCTTTTTCTGATAATATTTCCAATTTAATTTCTTAAGCATTCTAAAACAGATTTGGGGCACTGGACCAAGTGAAGTAAAACAAGTCTTCAGGTGACAACTCATTAATCTCTGGGGCTTCCATGTGACTAAACACATCGGTCTTGTGACAGTAAATTGGCATAACAGTAAATGAGAACTCAGTGGCTCAATGGCTACAAGAAATATGTATGACTGCCTATTTTAGAGATTTTCTATCTGAAAAAAAAAAGAAATAGCAACCTTATTTCACATAGCTACTAAAAGCAGTTCAGCCACGGCTAAATTATTTGATTATTAACTAAAAAAAACAAAGAAAAGGCTAAAGTACATGAATGGTCCATGAATTCTGAGCATGCTGACCGCTCTTACACGAGTTGTTTGACAGTCCATCTGACACGTTAGAACACAGAATCCTTATGTTAACCTTGCTGAGGATGAAGGAGGATCCATGACACAGAAGAAATATATTATGGACAACATTTGAGATCTTTTAGGAAGGAATGGGCACCTGACCAAACAAAGGGTCATCCAGACTGTTCCGAGCAAGAAGTCAGAAGGTTGACATTTGGGATGGGCAGAATTGCTGTTATCAAAGCCCATTTTGGGGGTTAGGGTTAGGGTTAGGGTCATACAAGCCTATGTGTGGAGAACATTAAAAAATGGAATGACAACACCATTCTCGGTGGGACAATATCGAAGAACATAGATAGATATACATTTAGATGTATATAAATGAAGCTGCACAGACGAATCCCTCAGTGTCTGTGATTCATGCTCTGTTAAAAAAAAAAGGATTCTGAATCAGTATGATGCCAGAGTTTGACACATGTAATGAGCGAGTCAAATGTTTGAACATCACGAGGCCTAGCTGAGTTTTTTTAAACCGTTAAAACCAGCAAAGACATTACATTTAATGTCTTGTCATAACCATTTTTTTTACATTCAATACTAATCATCAGAAATTCTCTAAAACAAAACTGGGGGTGTGCAGTGGTGTGGTGGTTAAAGCTGTAGCTTCACAGGAAAAGGGTTCCGGGTTTGATTCCCCAGGGGACCTTCCTGTGTTGAGTTTGCATGTTCTCCCTGTGTCTACGTGTTTTTCCCTGGGTTTAGTCAGAACTAGTCAGACTAATGTCTGAGTGGTGTGCATCCACATGTCTACCAACAAAGATGTGGCATATTTTGGAATTTTGGAGTGACAAATGCTTCCACTGAAGTAACGTCTTTTCCCTGGAGAATCTTGTCATTTCAGTACGGCTTTGCCAGATATTGTTGTGATTGACTTACAGCTGCATGACTCCAAAAACAGAGTGTGCATGACCTATCTGCAGTTCAGCTCTGTTTCCCACTGGAAAAATATGGAGCATCATGAAGAGGGGAAACAGACAACAGTGTCTGTATGCTGATCCACTGAAATCATGTATTCAGTAATTAGGGAAAACTACAGTGACTGACAAAAAAATATATATTATTAAAAAGTATCAAAAGTAGGACAAAAAACTGCTATGTAGCAAAGTTCTCAACATATAAAGTGCAATTACGTTTTCAGTGAATGTTTGAAGATTTGTTGTCCAACACATGTTGAATACATGTTCAAATGACTTAATAAATTACTCATCAAAGGTTTTGGATGCATCTCTCTAGGAATTCAAAGCTTTTCCAGACACACTGAAATTTTTCCAGGCATTTTCCAGGCATTTTCCAGTCGTTTATGGTTGAGCAATGGCAAGAATTTAATGATAAATGCATGCAGATGCTTGGAAAATCTAAATTATTCGTTATTGCAATCTTTTTTTACAATGAACACTTAATATGGCATCAGATATATTCAACATAAGCTACAAACTCATTCCAAATTGCCCCTGGTGAGTGAGTGTGAGTGTGCGTGGTTGTCTACTGGGGAAGGCTCCCCCTGCGACATCATCTGGGAATAAGCGGTTCAGAAAATGGATGGATGGATGGAATAAGCTTCAATCTGTAAAAGCCAGCTCTGTAAGTGTTATTGGCGGTAAAGGGCTGATTCAAGAATGACACCCAGTGGTAAAAACTGTTCATTACACTATGTCTGTTTTTTTTGTGTGTGTGTGTGAGAGAGAGAGAAAGAGAGAGAAAGAGAGAGAGAGAGAGAGAAAGAGACAGAGAGAGAGAAAGAGAGAGAGAGAGGAAAGAGAGAGAGACTAACGTTTGCATCTTAGAAACTGTGTGTCAGAGCACGGAAACAAGACCACGGCCTGCACAATCTGTGAAAGCTGCAGTTTACCATGCATGTATGTCTATGGATTACAACAATATGGTAATTCAATTCAGGGGGAAGCAGCAGGGTCACTAAAGATTTGCTAATATAAAAATAGATACTGCAGTATTAGACCAGCAATACCTGCTTTTATTTACTAAATTCTTTAGTGTTGAGATAGGAAGTTTGAACATGTTTCAAAGAGCAGTTCTAAATTCCATCCAGGTTAATCTTTTTATAATTCCATTGTCAAGAATAAGGTCAACCAACATGAATGAGAATAATAAAACATGTCTTAATAAATGTTTTCCTTCCCTAGACTTACCTTTTTGTAGTTTAACGTTGCCCCAATGCTTCTGCTTCCCCCTGCTGTTACCCGTCATACTGCCCTCCGGCCGCAGGCTGTAATTCCTCCACACCGCCGGGTGGCGCTGTCACAACGGACCTACAAGTTGTTGACCAATCACGACGAGAGTCCTTCATTTTGAACAAGCAGCGGGTCACGGTGTTTTCAACTAGAAAAATAATTATTAAGAATACGGAATTATAAAAGTACAACTACCCTCTCTGTCAGGAGGGTTCGCAACGGTATTGGGATCGGCAGTCGTTCGTTACTTTTCATGGACATTGAGCTAGGTTTTGGCGAAGCTACAACCATCTAGCAAAAGACCGAGGTAAAAGGGTTAACTTTGAGCTGATGCTTTTCAATTAGTTGAGGCTGTTGGCTCGATTTTAGCTTCGGCATTCAACATGGAACCGTTCAAGCCGTTAGTTTTAAAGACATACGGCAAGCATAGACGGAAGGTGTCTGCTTGGATTTCGCCCGAGTACCGCACAAAGGCCTTCGATAGCACCCCGTCAACGGAAGAAAGTTCCGTCTTTGAACCGGCAAAATCCAAGAGGAGGAGGTACGTTCAGATGAGTTGCTTTTTTCACATTGGCTGCGATCTTTCCAATAATTTCTTCCTAAATTAACCTAATTTTCTACCAAGGTTTTTCCCCATACTTTCCTTAATCTATTTTCTTTTCATAGGGGTTCATATCTTATATCAGTTTCACTACCACATTATAGTTAATTGTGAGCGCTTATTTTATGAAACACTGGGACAGTTTGCCAATTTATTTTCAAAGCACAAGATTTCTCACAATGTAACATAATCGGATTTTATATGATTTACTAAATTTTAGAAAATGAAGTGAAAACAATATTTTGCCCTGCTTACAGAATTATAAAGAACAGAAGTCCTTTATCGTAGTTGTTAAAGTGTATTATGATTAAAGTCCTCAGAAAATAAATGAGGGCGAGGTGAAATACTTGATCTCCTTTTTTAGGGTGTAGTTGATGATAAAAAAACTTCATCTGGCCTTCTAAATGCTATTCCCTCTATGTCTTCCGACTGTTTTTTACTTTTCTTGTTGTAGAGAGAGGCGTCCCGTGGTTGGTAGTCTTAGAGAGGCTCGTAATGCCAAGGAAAAAGCCCTGCGGTGTCTGACTGAGAAGAGCAGCGATGAGGAAAACATCGTCCCCCCCTCTGCTCAGCGGAGCAGGAGAACCAGGTGGGGGAACAACAGCTCTAAATACTTTGCTCAATCTAGTCACCATCATGATGGATCACTGTGATGATTTCCATGCCCTTGTCTATCTGTATTTTCTCCCCTGCGGATCTTCTCATGTTCTATTTGCGCTTGCTGATCTTTAGAGTGAAGAGAAAAAGTGTCTGCCGTGTTGAAGCAGTCCGTCCCGCTAAGAAAAAGACCAAGCTGTGTCTGATAGAGAGCAGCAGCAATGAGGACAGTGTCCAGAGGCCCTCATCTCCCATCAACCAGCGGAGAAAGACAAAAAGGTGTGCAGATAAGTTTACATTTTTTAATTTCAGTTATGGAAAAAAATATTGGATACAGTTCAGATACAATCTAGCTTTCAGATAGTATTGGATTGAGGCAGCTGCTTATTCAAATGACCTGTAAACAAATGTACGGTGATAAAGGGAAAATCCTAGAATCTTATTCTTACAGGAGCAGCTTTAGAAATGAATATAGCTTTTGGTGTAGAGCTCCATTTTTTGTTTGCTGCTCCAATGTTGTTCTTCAATTGTTCTGCTCGTATGTATCTGCCTTACTTCAGCTTATGTTGCTAAAAAGCAAAACCTTTTTTCTTGTGTGTGTGTGTGTCGGCAGGAAAAGCAGGCTGGTGTCGGCTCCAGCTTTAACGAGGCGGAAAGGCCTGAAGGCGTCTGTAACTCCAGGGAGCGAGGAGGAGTCATCTTCACCAAAACGCCAAAAGCTCTCGCAAAGAATTAAGGCGAACTCGAGGTTAGCTCCAAGTAATGTCGCAGGGTAACCTGCTGTAAAATCCGGAATGGCCGAAAAATCTGATTCCACCTCGTTCTTACTTTTCCCCCTCAGCCTTCGGCCACGTTCCGCTGGCCGCTTCGTAACCCGTCGCAGAGGCGCCGCTTCCACCAAAGTCCTCAATGCGATAGCCAGCATACTCAGCTCCTCAGATGAGTTCACTTCCGGAGCGTCACGTCCCACCAGGATCCACCGGCCCTCCAGGAGGAGGAAGGGCCCGCAAGCATTCGGGCTGTCAAGTGCAGAGAGCTCGGTAAACGCCAGCGCCACCTCCAGCCTCGCCGCCAACGCCTTCCGAGAGATATCCCTCAACGAGTCGGCGGATCACATCCTGGGACCGTGCCCCAGGAAACCCATCTTCTGCTCCACGCCGTCGGCGGCCTCCTTTAACAGACGGGGCCGCGGGCAGCACCTCCTGGCCTTGGATGAGGTCACCAGCCCTCCCTCCTGCATAGGGGTCCTGAGCGCTTTTCCAGAAGACGTGGCCTCGCCCCAGCAAACGGCCTCCCCGCCGCACTCTGAGGAGAGGCAGCCCAGAGAGACTGGTTCGGATCCCAGTGACGAACCCTCTGTCGATTTATTCGCGGAGCCCAGGAGAGGCGGCTGCCGCAAAGGGGCCAAACCCCACACCGAGTCGGAGGCCGGGGAGTCGTCCAGCGTAAACGGGCTGTCTGCACACAGCTCGGCGTCGGCCAGAAGAAAGCTGGAGTGGATGATAGAAGCTCTGAAAGAGAGCTGTCTGACGTGGCCCTGCACTGTTCAGCTGGAGAGGTTAGACCTCCTCACTCTGACCCAGATCTGCAGTCAAACCACCTACTCCTCCCGCCTGGAGCCTCCGGGCTCTGCCCGCAGCGGGAACAGCCAGAAACGGCCCCGAACCACAAACGGCACTGTTTACCTTCAGTCCTCAGAGGAGCTTGTTTCTGATGCGTACGATAAAGCCGGCGATGACCCACCTTCTGTAGAGGGTTCGGCCGAGTTGGCTTCAGGGACCGGCAGCCAAGGAGCCAACATTTCTGAATTAGCCGACTATAAGAGGTCAGATGAGAGTTGTGAAATGATAACAGACACAAAGTCACAAGCAAGCTGCGCTCTGCCGCCATTTACTGAAGGAGAGGATAGGGCAGAAACGCCGCCTCCAAAGCAATGCTCGGTTCAGTTACAGAAATGGTCTCCGTCACAGCAAACGGTTTGGCAGCTCAGACCAGCAGGAAATCGAGGAGCTGGCCAGAACGAGGAGTCTGTCAGGGCCTCCAGAGAAGCGACTAAGTCGAAACGCAAAAAGATCCAAGGAGGTGAGACAACAGACGGACTTTTACAAGGAAAAGGAGCAGCTCTGTCCAAGCTTGGAGAAAGTCTGCCCCCTACAGAGGCTACCCTGAAATCATCAGCGGATGAATGGGAGAGCGGCCCCTGCAGGAAGGACGCCTCCTCGAGAGTCGGGCTCCAAAAAGGAGCGTCGGCTCATTCCAAGGGCAAGGCAGCGTCCGGCAAAGGAGCCGGGGGAGACCCCGACCCACCCGCCCCCAAAAGGAAAAGGCCGTCTCCGGCTCCGAGAGAGAGGAAAAGGACGAGCGCCACCTCCTCCGACCGACCGGCGACCACCAGGAAGGCGTGCGTGAGCGGGATGAGCGTCAGCCGCTGGAAGAGCAGGGGCGCCGACAGCTCGCACGTGTTCAGCGGCGGGGCGGCCGAGACGGGCCGGGGCAAGGCGGCCGACTGCAGCGTGGCCGAGCTGATGGGCAGGCAGCCCAGGGTGAGAGTAGCACCCACACGAGAGCACCTCCAACGAAGCAGCCGGTCAGACGATTACTGTAATGGTCAGCTGCAGCCTTCTTAGTCGGACCTATCTGGGTGTCTTTATTGCTTTGGATGTGAGGGGGAAACATTTTTGGGGGGTTCTAAGATGTTGTTTTTGTGCATAAAATAAGACAACAGCTGGCTCATAAACCTAAACCCACCCATTTTTACCTCTGAAAGCTTCTCTCAGGTTCTCTTTTCCTGCCCAATCAGCTCCACAGGCCTGTTGGTAATTAGGCAAATTGGCCACAAGCTTTCCCTCAGGTGTTTTTTGTTTTACGGGGCACATCCCGTCTAGGTCTGCGCTGCACGAGCGTGGCCCCCGCTCGGCATGGGCTCAGAACTTTGGAAAAAATCTGTGCGCTTTCTGCTCCGTTTGCAGGAGTTGCTGAGAGGCACCATGAACTTTTCCACCCCGGCGAGGGAGAGCCGCCTCAACCTGTCGTCTCTCCTGGCCGATTTCACGCCCAGCACGCACACCTGGAGCCGCCTCAAGGCCGCCCTCTCCATCCACCGCAAGGGCACGGGTAATGGCGCTCACCACGAGGGGTCTCGCTCAGCTTTTGAGGTGCACGCTCCCCCTCATGATGTTTGTATTGTCCTTTTTTTGGTTTTTAGTCCAGCTCACCCCCAGGGGCTCCCACCCGCCAGGCTCTCCCCAGCGGGCGGCGTTAGCAGAGGTCAGCCAGGACCTCTTTGCCACGCCGTTCCGCACACCGCTTTCCCGGCGGCTCCGGTCACAGCTGCTGAGCCACCACTCTCTGGTACGTATTTTATTTGTAAAGAAAAGAAGATTGACAAGCAAAGCCCTGCCACTTAACTCCGAAAAGCATGACGCGCCCTCTTTGCACGTGAATCTGCATCTCGCTCGTTTTCTTTGCAGATTGTGTGTGAAGAAACGGATCTGTCGGATGCACAGAAGGTGTACGCCGAGTGTGGCCAGCAGCATCCTCTGCCCTGGGAGGAGTGCATTCCTCAGCATCGTATGAAGCGGTGCGCCAAGATTGGCGAGGGGACGTTCGGCGAGGTGTTCTCCACCACCAATGCTTCTGGAGACACCGTGGCACTTAAGGTATGTCTTGTTTTTTTGAAGTTTCAGTGTGTTGCCTGACACCTGTAGTCCCAAATATATCATTAAGAATGCAGCAGAGGGGCTTTTAAAAAAAATTATAATAATAATAATTAACAGCTTTTGAGTCTCCTCTGGGTGTGACATCTGAACCCTCAGTCTGTACACATGGTGAGCCTCATATCTTGCTTAAATTTAGTTGAGAAATGTTATTACTTGAGTCCCAATCTCCAAGGTGAATAAATTTGTTCTGATTCAGAAACCCGCACAGATGGGAAGTCGTAAGCCAACGCTCATGGATGCGTGTCCGTTCTCTGGCAATGAACTGGCTCTTGCGTTTGCAGGTAATTCCATTGGAAGGCGGCGAGAAAGTGAATGGCGAGGACCAGAAGAGTTTTGGCGAAATCCTCCATGAGATTATCATCTCAAAGTAGGTACCAGTCCGATCACAAACTAACAGGTCTGATGGGCTTCTGATGCACACAATGTCACATGGGAATTTCCTTTTTTTTTCTTCCTTTTTTTAAAATTGTCCTGTGTGTTTTGTTTCAGGGAGCTGAGCAGCCTGAAAGAGAAGCAGCAGAACCAGACCCACTGTTTTATTGGACTCAATGAGTGAGTTTTTATTTAAGTGTTTAGCGTAAGTATTTAAGTGTTAGTGACACCAGGCCTGTCTGTGCATTCCTCTTTCAGCCTCCACTGTGTTCAAGGCTGCTACCCTCCAGATTTCTTGAAAGCTTGGGACACATTTGACCAGCTTAAAGGCTCAGAGAATGACCGGCCAGGTTAGTGATTGGGTGTTTATTTTTTATTTTTTCTCTCCTTTTTAAGTTGGACTTCTGTCACCAAATCATAGGGATGTAAATGAGCCCCAATCAGTTCAAGAGAATTGGACTGTTTATCATCTTTTTTTCTTTTCAGATTTCTTTCAAAAAGATCAGCTATTCATCATCCTGGAGTTTGAGTTCGGGGGCGTCGACTTGGAGAACAGCAACGGAACGGTAGGGGCAGAATGAAACGCGCACTGGATCAGGAATGTGTTTGACTGGCGCGGGCTCTAATTTTAGCCCTTTTTAAAGCTGGCGTCGTTGGGGGTGGCCAAGAGCATCCTGCATCAGGTCACCGCTGCCTTGGCTGTTGCGGAACAGGAGCTGCGCTTTGAACACAGGTGGTGTATTTACACACACCCTGAAACTCCAAAACTAACTCTAGGTGTGGGTACTCTGCTGATCTGGACATGTAGTCATGCGCCGGAGCTCAAAGCAACGCTTTCAAAAGAATTTCAATGCACAAACTATCCAAAATTGTCTAGTAGATTTTAATATCCATTTTTAAAATGAAATTTTTAAAGAAAACTGACAACAATTTTTTTTTAATAATCATGAAAGGACTTGATTGGCTTCTTTAGTAGTTAGACACGAGTAGGAAACCAGTGCTATTAGTCGGTGTCTTTAAAGCAAACAGCCTGAGTCTGACATCCAGCTCTGCAGTGGCCCTGTTGTTGTTGTAGATTCGTAGCAGTGAGACGGATGACTTGTTTGTCTGCAACGGCCCCAAACTGTGTCTGTTTACTGCAGGGACCTCCACTGGGGCAACGTGTTAGTCAAAACAACCAAGCAGAAGACGGGGAGCTTCCTCCTGAGTGGAACCGCTCACAGCCTGGAAACCAAAGGGGTGCTGGTCCGCATCATCGACTACTCTCTGTCGAGGCTGGAAATAGGTCAGATTTTGTTTTCTTGTTTTTTGTCATTCAGCCCTCCAACTTGTTTGCCATATTATTTTAAAGTTTTTAATAGTAATAGAAGAAATTCTCCATATTTATTGTGCATACCCACCACCTGTGGAACTTGTCTGCTGTCCCTCAGATGACCTGACCGTGTCCTGTGACATTTCGAACGATGAGGAGCTTTTCATGGGCCAGGGAGACTACCAGTTTGACATCTACAGACTGATGAGACAAGAGAATGGGTCAGTGATTGATGAAATGCTTCTCTTTTTCGCTGTTGTTTCAGTTGTTTATAGAAGGGACATCATCTCATCACATATTTTAAATTATGTCTGTCATCATTTGCACACTATAACTATTATTTTGAATATGAGGAATGGTCAGCACAGATCATCCACCTCATTTGTTTACATATTTGCTTCCAAAAATTCTGTAATCTATTTAAAGTTGTATTGAGGATTGGTCTTCCAGGCTTTCAGAAGGTCTGATTTATAGTCATTCATACATAAAAAGACAAGTGCCTAACTTGTATTGTCCACATAAAGCAGAGAACCCAAATTAAACCCGTTTCATAAAGATCTCATTATCAGCAGTGTCAGGTGTCAAATTGCGGAACTTGTTCCAAAATTCTGTGCTTCCCTGCTTAGCTCTTCAGATTAGCAAAATGTGCATTTGTCAAACATGCAGCTCCATCCAGCTATTTACAGGCTTTGCATATTTCTGACCTATTTTTCAGAGCTAAACCTTTTTGTTCTTTTTGGCCACGTCCTGTCATCCGGTGGATTATGGGAACAACGGTCGTCACATTTGCTTGATCTCCTTTCCACAGGAACAACTGGAATAACTACCACCCACACACAAATGTGCTGTGGCTCCACTATCTGTGCTCCAAGCTGCTTTCCATGAAGTACCGGACCCAAGGAGGACGAGGCACCAAGGACGCGCGCCAGCAACTGGCTCGTTTCCATGACAGCATCCTTCAGTATCGCTCTGCCACGGAGGCGCTTCAAAACTGCCCCATGTTTCACTAGTCAGGCAGCGGGAAGTGTGAGGAGGCTCACACGGACCGTGTTGGTGAAATGTCCCTTAAGAATTATTGTCACAAAGACTGTTAAAATTAAAAAATGTTACTTAGAAAAAAGAAAAAAACGGCCTGTTTCTCTTCAATTGGTTGGTTATTGTGGCTCATTTTCAATTATCTTTTCATTTGTAATTATGTGCGAATGCCAGAAGAAAAAGAAAAAAAACGTGTAAAATAAAATGTTTAACTTCCTGTTGCTTGGCAACACTCACTTTGATGTTTAACACCACTGAAGTTGGATGTCCATGGGTTTGTGTGTTCAACATTTCAGCACTTAAGCCTGTCATCTTCTATTTTTTCTTTTAGGGGTGCACAGAATGTACTGTATGACTTTAATGTAGGAGATGAATGTTGGAAACCAGCACTCCTCCATATTTGTGCAAATCTGAGACGGTTGGAAAAGAAGAAGAAAGTAACCAACAACGACAACAAAAGAGGCACTTAGAAAAACAAAATATGTTTACTCAATATCTTAAGATTAAACATTTTTGCATTGAAACAAGCTTAATTTGGTATGGTGAGTCATATGTGTCCATATAATTGTAGATTTTGATTGAATATGTTGAACGCTTCCATACTTATAGACACACTGTTCGTTTAAAAAAAAAAAATCATAGTTACACTTGCCTGGAGTAACTGTCATAACATTGGAGCAACAGATGCAGTAAAAAAAGGAAGACTGCCTTTTTTTTCTTCTTTTTTTTTTTTTTCTTAAAAAGGACACGGAAACATCTCAAACCATACAAACAAGGTCAGGCAGACTTATGTTCTGAGAAGAGGTCAGGCATGTGTTGAGAAGCACTTTTTGGTTGAGCATTGAGGCAATGTTTGAGATGGCCTTGCTGGTGATGAGCCCATGAATGTGTTGACGTATGCGTGTGCATCAGTGTGTGCTTCTAAAAATTGAAGGTCTGTGTGTCTGTGGGACGTTACCTGTCTGAAATCGAAGCAATGACCTGTATATGAGATGTACTTGCGGCTGCTGTGTGTCTGTATGTGTTTTAATGTGTGTTTGTGCTCAGAAGGAGAAGTATTTGGTGAACCACTCCTGCTTCAGCCCTTCTATCCCCCTCTGCTCCAGGTACGGGCCCCTTTAAAAAAAAAACACACACAGATTAAACGAATTCCATCCATTTGACAGCAAATTTTCATCAAGTTACAGACTATTTATTAATTGTGCTATAACGTGCTGCTATAGTTTTGGTTTACGGAAGTATTATGGAACACTGAACTGTCTCATGGAGGGAATGTGTGTGTGTCTGGTTGTTTGTCTCTGTGTGTCAGCTTATCTAGGGTCTACCCCTTCTGCCCAGTGACAGCTGGGATAGGCTCCACCCCCCACAACCCTGCTAAGAGTCAGTAGTATGGATGGACTGGTGAAGCTCTTATAAGCTTAAATGAGTAGAAACAGAATTATGTGTCCCTTCCACATTTGTTCATATCCCAGCCGGCATTTAAAAAAAAAAAAGAAAAAAAAAGCTCATACCTGATCGAGTGGGCCTGCAGGTGTGCGTGTGGCTCCTGGCAGGAGGGGGACACGTATCGGATGCCCGTCTGCGGGGAGGGGCACACGGGAAGAGGCGCGGTGGGCGCCGGGGTGGGAGGGATGCAGGAGGTCCGGGACCTGGTGGAGCGGGCCAGGGACGGGGAGGACTGTTGGCTCAGGGACAGGGAGGTGTGCTTGTGCGGGAGGGAGGAGGTGGAGTAGTGGGGGGAGATCTGGGGATGGGAGGAGGACTGGTGGGGGAGGGTGGAGGAGGAGTGCTGATGGACAGAGGAGGAGGAAGACGAGGAGGAGGAGTGGGGGAGGAAGATGCTCCTGTCGTAGGCGGCTGTGCTGGTGACACGAGGAGGCGACTCCACACGCTTCGTCTGCCAGAGGATACGAATCACAGAAAAGGAGAGAGATCTTTAAAACCAGGATAGAACTCTCCTGTATGAATGTTCATTCAGAATTCTTTTCTTGTCTGTCAAAAATCTGCAGTCCGCAGCAGTTTAGGGAATGGCTTCACCTGTAACAATGGCATATTGGGCCCCTTTTTTTTCCACAAACTGACCTTTATGAAACGTTTGGTCAAAAATGATAGAGAGCTAAAACAGCGGCACACAGTAAATGGAAGGAGGTGCTTTTAAGCGTGATGAGCATCCCTAATGACTCTTTCCCCATACTCTGGTTCTGCCTCTCTAGTAATCAGCAGCACTTGATAACCCTAACAGCATGTCATTATCTCATAATTCTACATAAAACTGGACCTCATTGATGCTCCATTCCTCTTATTTCAGCGACTAACCTAAAGAAGTGTTGGGTCCTTTACTGCGGATGTTCTCTTCACATTTATATATGAATTTGTTTAAATTCAAAATTTTTAATAAGAGGCGATGAAGATGATACCATGAGCAAGAGAAAAGCAACAACTTCAACTTTCCTCATCGTGCGGCATTTCAGGAGGCAAGAAAAGAGAGGCTCAAAAACAAAAGTGCACCAGAGGCCAACGTGAGGATAGCTATTCCACAAAGTTGACAACTCTGGGAATCACAGGGAATAAGAACAACACCATAGTCGCTCATTGGCTGCTCAGAGCTGTAGCACCCTCCACACAGCAGCTGCAGCCGTGCAGAAACTCTGTGCACGGCTGGATCTTATCACTAGCCATGGCAAAACGGGACTTCATAAACTCCCTCCTAACCTTTTAAACTACTCTGCCAAAGGTGGTCTCACTACTGGGAACTTTATTCAACAAACCGATGAGCGGCATCTAGTGGCAAAAGTGGTGGTTGCACAGTAGAATCAAGACTTGCAAATGCTGATGCACCTGCTACGCGTATTGTAAGATTTCTTACTGTCAATAGTGAAAAGTGCAACAAAAAACTACCTGGAAATCTGGCTTTTATATGTCCTTGTTTGTATCTATATTGAATACATCAAATAACACATATTAATGCATTTTACTGGACATTGTGGCAATGAGGCAGGAGGTGAGGTTGATGAGTTTATTATACCGTATATTTCCTTTGGTATTGTGCTCTGAGGCTACTGAAAATATTAACTTGTGTATTTCTGGGGCTTCTATTCAGAAATAATCATTTTTCCACCATACATGGGGTTTAGATACACAGTTTTGTGCATTTACTAGTACTTCACAAATCTGTGCTCATTAATATATCTTTAAACTTACTTTATATTTTAAAATTTCACACCCTCTAGAAAAATCTCCAGCCTTTAGATGGAGGGGAAATATCCCTGAATAAACCATCCCCCCTGAGACAGTTCTGCCAGAACGGCTGGCAAAAAAAGTCAGTGCAAAGGAGAGGGGTCAGCGTAATGGCAATGGCAGTTAGTCATCTTTAAATAAAGTGTTCTTTCTGCATGTCTGAGGCTCCAGTGAGGAGTGTAAGGAAAGTAAGACATCATCTCCACTGCACATTTTACCTCAATAGAAAAAGCAAAAGAGCAGAGCAGAGTTTCTTTGTTTTGTTTTTTTTGCTAAAAGATGCTGCGCTGTTGAAGTTGTTGATGATATGTGCTTCCTTTTTAAAAAACTGTTACCGGTTCAGCATACAATCAAGTGGGCCGTATTAGAAAAAAGTCTCCCCATCTGCTCAAACTGCTTAGACGAATGTTTTAGATGTCTAAAATATCATTAAATCACGACACTCTTAAGAAATATGTGCAGAAACCGTATTATAGTGTTAAATGTTAAAAATAAAAAGGTTTTGTGAGGTCACGGTTGTTCATTTTGACAATTAAATCCAATACAGCTGGTTTCAGTTGGTCTGAATGAGCATTTCCTCCAAAGCTGAAGGCTCTTCGTTTGAGCTGTCCCTGGAAAAGATTCTGTTTACAAGACTGGCAAAGATGTCTGGAGGAACTAAGAGACGCACAAGCTTAACCCAAAAATGCCCCCAACGAACGCATCCAGCTTGTCAGATTTACTGTCAGCTAAGTCCAGCAGCCAAATGTGTGCTGACTGCATATTCTCTGGGCAGAAAGCTTCTTTTTTACTGACCATCGGCTGCACCCCTCACCAAAGAAAACCTCACTAGTCGGAATCTTGGCCGGCCGAATGAGATGGAAATCAAAGCAGTCTCACAGACGCAGAGCTGACGTGTCACTGGGGGGAAGGAAGTCTGGCTGGAGGGAGGCCCGTTTTTTTTTTTGACGAATACATTATGCACATGACCTGAAAAATAACCGACTCACCCTCATGGTCGGCGTGACGCTGCCCGGGCGGGACTTGCCGTCACGGAGCCTGAGGGCGCCGCCGTCCCCGCCGACGGGAGGGTGGAGCTGCAGCTGATGCCTCTCCTCCTGCGGGGAGAGGAGGACGGGGAAGGGACTTTGACTGGCCTTGTTTACGGTCGGGGTGGTTGTTGCATTCCCGTCCCGTCTGGGGGCCACGCGTGTTTACAGCGCGGCCTTATGCCAGGCAGAACCCGGTTAGAGGAGGCTTTTAGGAACAAAAAAAGTCAACAAATCGTCTATGTGTGCAGGCTACCTTCTGGATTGTTCTTTTATGGGAATATGAGTGTCAGGGAGCAAGTGGGAAACCAAAAGCAAAGGGTCGGAATCCAGATCTGAGACATGGCAGCTAGATGGCATTTGTCAGAAGCACGAGGCCTGTTGTCCTACATGAGGGATGGGAAGGCACCCACCTGAGCGAGCCAAATCTAATAGCGAGAGCTGGATAAAAGGAGTTTCCGGCTCAAGAATAAAGGATCAACCCCCACAATGGAGATAAATATGGCTAATGAGCGCGTCTTCAAAGGATTTTAGTAATTAATCCTCGTGCGAATCTTGTCCCTCAAACGCTGAGCCGCATGCGATGTTTCCGAACCGAGAGCATCGTGTGTTGTCTGGGGAACACATTAAGTCACATATGCATCGTCATTTTTTTCATCGTTAATGTAGTTTTAAGACGATGGGGCGAAAAAAGACGAAGGGGAAGCTGGGGATATTCTGTATTCATTGCATGTTGGCAAAAAAAAAAGAAAAGAAGAAGAGTGTTAAAAGCTTGGAACCAATTTTAATTTAATCCAGCTCACTATGCTTTCCTCGCTTCTGACAAGATAGGGCTTGTTTGTGGAAACGAGCAACACTTAAAAATCAGACGACGAATATGACACAACAGCGTTGTTGTTCGAAAGCATTTCCAGCTGTGTATTTACACCAATTTGTTCCTTTAATTCGTATTTCCCGCAGCAGGGCGAGAGAGGGGTGGGGGGGGGGGGTAAGGATTTAATGTGTGGCACCGTGTCCTTGTCCAATATACAACACACAGAACCGATGCATGTCAAAAATTCCTATTTATGGTAGTATATCCCAAGAAAAATAATTTCCCTCTGGGATTATTAAAGTATTTCTGATTCTGATTCTGAAATAATTTTCATGTTAATTAGAACAATTAACATGCAAACATCTGCTTAAAACTAAGTTCACTTTAATAGGTTTTGGGAAATATCTGCAAAATGCGATGATAAATTAAAGGATAATAATGTCAGAGAAATTTGGAGGTAGATCAACAAAAAACTAAAACTTGGGAATATTTGCTTGTATGTGCCGGCAATGCGAAGAATATAGAACAATGCCCGTTTTATCTTAAATGTAGCAACCTCCTGTTTGGGTCGGAGGTTATCGGAGGAGTAAGCCCACAGGAAAACAGAAAAAGGTTTTCCTGTGGGCTTCCAGCGGGCGCTGGCCCTCACCACCAGCCGCTTGATGAGCTGGTCTCTCTCGGTCAGCTTCTCCTGGAGCCTGCCCAGCTGCAGGTCCTCGCACCGGGGCTCTCTCCTCCTGCACCGTTCCTCCCGCTCACGCAGTCTGCAGTTAAATCATATACACAAACACACACACTTTCTCACACACCAGCACTGCTAGCGTTTGGTTTAGTTTTTTTTTCCCTTCCACCGGCCCCCCACCCTCCCCGTCCGCCTGCTTTGTTCTCGACTCACTCGTTCTCCAGCGCCACTATGCGAGCTTGCAGGTGATTCTGGGCGGAGCTGTACTCGGTGACCAGGCTCTGCATCTCCCTCTTGTGCTCCTTCCTGATCTCCTCCACCTCCTCTCTGCGCTTCTCCTCCTCCCGCTCCTTCTTCTTCTCCTCGTCCACCTCCTCCTCCTCTTTCACCTCGTCCTCTCTCCTGTCCTCCCAGTGCTTCTGCGACTCCTCCAGTTTCTCCATTTCCACCCTGAGCTTCTCCACCTCCTCCTTCAGCCGCTGCGCCTCCTCCTCCAGCTGAGCGTCCCTCTTCTTCTCCACGTCCACACTCTCCTCTTCCTTCTCCTCGGTTTCAGGGTTCTTCTGCACCGACCTGGGGAGGGACAACATGTCATCCTTCACCCAGCAAAACAAACGTGCACAGTTTAAGAGACAAGTGAGCACAGGTCTTTGCAAGTTTGAGGAGCAATGGTCAAGTTTTCTGAATAAATGTATCTAAAATATGCAAGAAGTTTTCCAATTTGAATAACAAAGAGGACCCTCAAGAGTTATCTTCATAACGTCACCGGGGGAAAAAAAGCCTGTCAGACCCAATCAAAGATTAATGTTCAGGAGAATCAGCAGCTCTCCGATTAGATAGAGAGAATCTAACTGTGACAGTATAGTGACTTATGAAAAAAACTGGATAAATATTTCAGGAGCGGGGCTGACATTCTATGAAGGTGACGCTATCAGACTGAGAGCATTTAAAATTACCCTCTAGTGGTTGTCGGTGAGCAAAATAAAAACTTTGATCATCCCAAAAGGAGATGTTTTGCATTTTTGATAATGTTATAGGAAGTAAAACATGTAGCTGCAAAGCAAAATTATAGTAATGGCTCAGAAAACTTTGCGGTTGACCTTAAGAAAACGGAAATTCAATCATTAATGCTCTCTATCTCCCAGAGAGGACCTCATATTTTTCTAAAAATTAATTGAAAACAAGCGACAAGATTATTCTCAAAATTTCTGATTTTACATCTGTGTTTCTGGGAAAACTAGAAAAACGTTCGACAGCATGATGCAATCAGGGATCTTTTTTTAAATGACAATATAAGCATCATTTCACCATATATTTTCACAGGTTGGTTGTGTCACATGACACGTTTCACTTGCTGTGAGACGGCGAATAACAAGATGCTCACATAACATTCAGGGTAAAAAATAATCAGAGACTTGCTAAGAGGGACAGAGATGTAGAGCTTAAGACTATAAGAGAAGTTTTTTTAGTTTTTTGGTAATACACTGTTTCTAAATCCCTTTCTAAACTGCCCTTGGTGAAAGTCAGCACTCCATCCCAATGGAAACAAAACAATTAAATAATAAGACACGCTCCCACCAAAGGTCCATTTTCTACTATCATTTAATCAGTTTTGCTGCTTCTCTGGGACCTCACGGTTAATTTCAGATTGCGAATGTCTTTGTGTTAGGACACAGTAACATTGTATGCGCTAAGACATGGAACAAACACAACCGCTTTCAGGCTTTTCTCAAGCAAAAATATCACTATGAATGAATGAACGAACAATGAATAAATCAACAGCTGCAGCCGCAAATGGTTTCGATGGTGAAAAAAAACCGAGATTGACTCCTCGTACCGCTCTTTCAGCTGCTTCTTCAGCGTTGCGTTTTCTCTCTGAAGCTCCAGCATGGCACAGCGACTCTCATCCAGCTGTCGCTCGAACACCTGGTACTGGTTCTGCTGCTTCAAGTCCTGTGCACAAAAATAGACACACACACACACACACACACACACACACACACTAGATAAGAGAGGTTTTCATTGTTGGGAGTTTCTATTGAGGTTCAGACTCGTATTTCAGCTTTTAATGAGGTTAGTTCTGCTACACACACCATCGTGCTGTGGGAGATTTTCATTCATTTAAAAGAATAATGTAAGATAGAAACTGCTGTGATCTGATTAAGTGTGCAAACAGACGCAGATTAAATCTGCAGAGCGCGGGCCATAGCACAGATAAAGGCAGCCTGTGTGTTGGTACGCGCGGGAGGGATTAACTTTGGTTTCCGCTGTGTGTGTGTGTGTGTGTGTGTATATGTGTGTGTGTCACCTGTTG